TAGGTTGCCAGTCAAATAGGACTCAAAACTTAACCCATGTAACAGACTAGTCAGTCTAGAAGCAGAATACTGTCTATTCAGCAGAATCTTTCAGGGTACAGAACAGGATGCAGAAAATGTGAAACAAGTCATCTTAGGGCAAAATGTGTATTTGCACCTGCCTGCCTGCCTCCCCATTAATGTAGGGGCAGCCCCCACATTAATGGGGAGACAGGCGGGTGCAAATCCACCTTTTGCCCTAGTGGACATTTCTCCCTTTAAATGCAGGGTTTTCCAAATCCACAGAAAGCCTGAAATGGCCACAATAGAAAACCCTGCATTTAAATGGGGGTGGGGAGAGGAGGACTGGTGCAACACTGGGATGGGGAGAAGATGATGTGAATGCTTCAACATTAATGAAAAAAGAGTCAGGAAGGTAAAAATACACATTTAGCTCTGGTGTGGACAAGCCCTCAGACTGTGAACTTTGTATATGGAGAGGGGCAAGCCCAGATTCCACATACTGCTTTTATTGCCCATACACCCCTTTCCCTTGGTGTTCCATCTCCTTCGGCCACCATCTTCCACCACATACTTCCTAGACACTGGTTGTAATAATAGCGTTTGTAGTTTAGATATACTCTTTTAGTGTTAAGAAGTTGGTAATCTGATGACAGGTCATGTGGACGAGAAGTGTGGAACAAGCACAGTTCTCCCACTGGTGGCTATAGGTTTGGGGGTTGTTGGGTTTTTTTAACCTTCTCACAGCAGACAAGAGGTAAGCAAGCACATGCATGCATATTCATTCTTCTGAACAAGAAGTATTTTCCTACACACTGGAAAACTGATGATATGTACAATAATTCTGGTCTATACACTTGTGCATAGATACCCAGTTATGATTTTCTGATAAGCATTTATGAATCATTGCACTGGAAAAATTAACACATGGTGTGGTTTTCAGAGTCACAAAAGGCCAATGCCAGAAGCTGTCAAGTTTTGGCAAGAGTCCAGAGACTCATTAAAGAGTTTGGGGGCCCACAAACTCGCTTACAAGGTTTTCCTCCCTAGCAGCTAAGCAGAAAAGTCATCTTCCTGTGTTCCCTACACATTGAAGACTATTTAGAATGCAGAATTACTGTTTGGAGCATTGCTGGAATGAGGTGCCTCCCTCCCCATGATCTACAACACAGCCCTAATGTATCCAAGCAACTGCTGCTCTACCTCATGTTCCTCTTGGTGCATTTGAGGAACCTACAGGACTTCAAGGAAAAGGAAGGACTGGTTCTTTTTTCTTTTCTTTTTGTGGCCTCTTTTTTACTGTTTTGATTACTCTTTTTCCCTCTCAGCACTCCCCCACCTACCCAGTTTTTTTGCGTATTCCCTCTGTCAGGTGATGATGTGGTTGGATAGGACAGGAGTGATGTTCGCCAGCACAGGTGTGGTCTGTGGTCTCCTAGTGTGAATTTAGGTTGGGGTTGGTTATGACTAACATTGGGAAGTGTGACTAATGCTGTGGCGACACCCTGTTAGAGAAATGTTAAATGAGAAACAGAACAGGCAACTCTGCATCACCTTTGCACACACTGAGGATGAGGAATGGTTGGCAAAGCCAACAGGCTGACTGTTAAGTTTTTGTACCTCTGATGGGCCCACCAAATGAAATTCAGCTTTAACTCTTTCCTGGTTCAGGGTCCAACCAACCTGGTCAGGCCCTGCTATAACAGAAAGTGAGACTAAGCCTATGAGCATCATGCCACAGCATGGAGGATTCTGGGGCAGTTTCATACTTCTCTCACATGCCATTTTATAACCATGGCTCAGCTTTCTAACCCATCCAATAAAGAGTCCTCCCATGAAGTGTCCTTAAAATGTTAGTGTTGGTCCAATCAATTATAAGCTCAAATTCCACTAAACTATGGCTTACTATTAGATTTCTACCTCATGGGCCAAGTTCTGCCTACACTAATTAGTATTCTTTACAGTATCTGTCACCCTAAGTTTGAGTACCATTGAACTGATTCCATTAGAATAGGACACTATTCTTTACATTACTTATCTTCTCATGAACTTCTGGTTCTTCTTTTTATCATTTTTTAAATTTTCTTTGCTGAATGAGAATATAGATACAGTGGGGCTAAACTGCTACTTTACAACAACAAGGTCTCTCTCTCTCCACCCACCGACCCACTTTTTAAAAAACTTCATATTCAATGTAAACTTTTGGGGCATTAAGGCTAATTAGAAAGACAATCCTCTTGGCACCTATGTGCCACACAGAGCAGATGTTTCTTCATTGCACCACTGAAGGTTTTAGAACTTGTTTCTTTGAAGGAGGCATTTCTTCAATACTGAATTTGAGCTTGTTGTTTTATTTTGCAAGGCTTGTCAGTTTAAGAGTATGCATTGCAGTTTAATAGTTCTTGCTCACTGAACTGAAGCGAGCTGGGCCATCAGATGCTGGCTGAATATCAGCCTCCACTAACAACACAAAGTTGATCCCCGTTAACATCTTAAGCTTATTTCCTCATCACCTGGATGTGGATCATTGCTTGTATAGTGCTAAGATAAATGGGGTGGGGGGAATCCAGGGAATTTTACTTTGCGTCCTGCTTCAGCACTTTTGGAAAGAAATGTGCTGGAATAGAAACCCCACCTATTATTCAAACATTGGACAAGTTCCACTCTCTAATTCTGCCTTTCTAGTATCCCACCCCAGCTCAGTACAGCAAAACTAAGAGTCAGTGCGACTTGGAAAGTAACACCCACTTACCTTCATGCTTCGAATTAAGCACTTTCAAGATGTGCTGGTTTCAATGGAAGAGTTAGTCAAATTCTTGAAACTAGTGCAACTGAAAAAAGACACTTAACTTTGCTGAAATGTGCCCTTTTTGTGCTGTTCAGCACAACTGAATGAGTTTCGAGAATGCACAAGAAAAAAATGTAATGCATTTGCAAATTTGAAAGTGCTAAATATATTGAGCTAAAGAGATCTCATGCATCTAGGCCTGGCTTAAATTTTACTCCATTTTAACAGCTCATTGTGTCAGCCTGTAACTTTAATATGCAAAAAGACCTGACTTTTGAGAATATAGTTATTTGAGTGGCACAATAATACCAACCAATTCCTTCATCCTCTGGGAATGTGCATTACAAGGCACATTGCATCACATCATATATAATTTGTCCAGAGCAGAATAACTGAAGCTCTCATTTTGCTACCACCTTCTTGCTTTTTACTCTCACTAAAAGTGTTTGCAAATTGAAAATATTAAACTCACTGTTATTAACTTTTCCATTAAGCTCTTATCACAGAGTGTAACATATGTGTTTCATTTCATGTAATTCTTTTTTTTTTCAACTGACGTTTAGAATTCAGGGAAACTATGTTGGGATTTATTTGATCTTTATAACAACCCATTGAAACTATATACATGCCTTTTCCACTTTGAAACATCCAACCAACAACATATGTGGACTTTCTAGAGATTATAATCATACATACATTAATCTCATTTACACATTGCTTGCACTACTGATTCCAAGACCTGCATCTACCCAACTCTTGCAAAACTGTCAGTTTTGGAATACAGTATGTGTTTTGGATTGTTATTATCATGAAAGTAAAGCAACAGCAACAAATACTTTTTTAGAGTTCTTGAGGTAACACTGCCATGAGTCTACTACTATCACCCAATAACAGCCTTTTGATAATTTATTTAAGTTTCGATCATAAGTAACTCAGTGTTGGAAAAACATGCAACACATTTGGGACTAAACCATCATGCCATTTTAATGTGTTGTGGACAAATACATTGTGGAGGCTACAGTCATCCCTAAAGTACAAGGGAGGATGGCACTTGCTAGAAGTGTAAACTTCTTCATGCCCCTTTCATCCTTTTCGTGCATGTTCAGGAAAGGTACTTATCCATGCAGCCCTTCCTTCTCCCATGAAATGCTGCCAACTGTAGGGGGCTAACTCATCTTGGTGACAAACCAAGCCAGGGACTTCCACTCGTTGAAAGCTTTTCACTCTCAGGAGGATTGTCATGCAATATAATTTATTAACCCAGATTAATTACCTCTTGTACTGAGGTACAAGATCACCCTATCGTACTGACATGAATAGAAGTACCCCTTCCCCCAGTGTGGGAAATGAAGCAGAGAGTGGTGGCTCTTCTAGACTCAGGGGTCCCAGCCAGGTGTGAAATTATGCATGTTCCTTCAGAGATGTGAAAGTTCACTAGGGTTCCTGTTTCTTTCCTTCCATTCTGCCTCCTTACATGTCCATCACTCGGTGGGCTGCCCTTGGTTCCTCTTGCTGAACCAAAACGCTCAAATTATTTTAGCCCCTGTTTTAGGATGTCTACAATTCCTATTGCTTCCATTGCTGTTGCTGTGGTAATAAACGTGGTCAATGTGAGCAGCGGCAACGGCTAATCATATTTGACACCCCATTTTCATCTCTCAACACTACCTGAGATTCCACAGAAGGCTATCCTACGCAGGGGCATAGAACTGTGGTTGGACTCATAGAATTGTGGAGTTGGAAGGAACCCTGAGGATCATCTAGTCCAACCCGATGTGATGCTGTCATCCATCAGCCCCCAGCCAGCATGACCAATGCTCAGAGATGATGGGAGCTATAGCCCAACATCATATAGATGACCACTGGTTCCCCAGCCCTGAAATACAGGTTTGCCTAGTGGTAAAGATTTCCCCAGCACAGAACTGAGGCGAGTTGTATCTGTTTAATTCCTGCCTGTCTTTGTATCTGTTAAAAGCCAGAGGAGCTGTCAGAAGGGGCGGGCGGGATGGCAACCCCTATTCCCTGAGCGCTCCACGCCTCACACCAACGGAGAAAAGTTGGTTCCAAGTCCTCCCTCACACGAAGTTCGAGCATTCCCAGGAAAACTGGCGCCTTCAGATTATGCTCTATTGGTTGAGAGCAGCTTGGCGGGACTCCCTCCCTCTCTCCCCACCTTTTCCTCTCTCTCTCTCTCTCTCTCTTTTTTTTTTACCTTTCTCAAAGCTCCAAAGCGAAGATGCCTCCCCTCAAAAAAGCAAAATAAAGTCTCGCGACGTTGGTCCCTGAGCGCGGCGGGCTCTGCGGTGGCCGCTCGCCTGGCGTCGTTTCTGCGCGCGCTCTGGCTCGCGCGCGGGGAGGCTTTGAGGGCGAAAGTCCCGATCCAGGCGAGAGGAGCGCGTGAGGCGGGAGAGCGAGCGAGCGAGCACCACTCTCGGTGGAGAAGGCACCACGTCAGACGTGAAGGACGTTCCCCAGAAAGCTCGGCGTGAGCTCCGTTCAAAACCTCAGGAGCGAAGGGGAAGAAAAGTCGAGAGCAAAACACACACACGGAGAGAGAGAGAGAGACACCCACAGAGTGTCCGGCGCAACAGCGTCTCTTCACACAGTGGCCTCTTGTCCCTTCTGCCCCCGTGTCCTGACTGACGCCCTCTCCACTTACCTCAGGGTCTCGCTAGATGCCCTGCCCTCTTGGCTCCGCCGCTTCACAACTCCCCTCACGCCACCCGCGCCCACGCCCCGGCTTTGCCCAGCGAGTGGAACAAGTTGTCAAGAGTTTCCCTGTGTGAAGGGATCGCGGCGGGGCGAAGGACCGACACCTTCACAGGAACACGATACTCCCTGGCTCCGTGGGCTCTGCCCTCCTCCAGACGCCCCCACCCCCTTCCCCCTCTTCTTGGGATGGTGTCTTGGAGCAGATCAAGGAAGAGGGGAGGAGAGAGAAACGCGGAGGAAATTCTAAGAACCAACCGAATCCCGTTGGTTTACCCAGCGACTCTTCCAGCGGCTCGACCCACACAGGAACATGTAGGATTAAGGGCGCGTGCGATCCCTATTTGGGGAAATCGCTGGCAAACTTTAGCCCTGAACTTTAGTGGAGTCGGTTGCATCCTTGGATCATCAAGCATGGGAACTATTCTTTGTGCTGTAGAGAGCCCTGGTCAAGATCAGGAGCCTGAAATCACAAGACATGTTCCCGCCACATATATTAAGCTAATAATGAGCAAAGGAGGGTAACAGAACCCTGGTAATATCTAATTCCACATGAGGATGTAGTGCTGATGGGGCTGGGGGAGCAAGTATGCATATCACCCATAGGATGAGGTCCTTGCCAAAATGCTGCCTCATATTATGTTCCCATTTAATCTTGATTTAGCATTTCACCTATAAGTAACAACACCTGTGGAAATGGTAAACCCAGATTAAATTGGGGAAGGGAATGGTCATTTTCATAAGATTGCTGCCGAGAAAAAATTGCCTGAGCAACATCAAATCTCCGATAATCTGTTGCGTAGTAGTGACCTAAACCGAGATATGAATTAGCTAGGCTTTGCATGGCTTGCTTCCCTTTCCCCTGAACCTGGCTGTATCATCTTGACAGTGGGAGAAAAATATTGCATTTTCTGATTCACTGGCGGTGCTTGCAGATGACCTCATGGATATGGTACATGGCTCATGCCTAGTTATAAATCCAAGCTTTTGGAAATGTTCAAAAAGTAAAAAATTATGTGTTTTGGATGGCTTTTTACCACCCTCACCCTACTGGGGTGTGGAAGTGAATGGGTCTTGATCTCAGCATCTGTAACACGTGCCCCATCAAGGCCCAACAAAAGTGACTGAATAATAATAATAATAAATGTTTGGATTGTCATAGCTAAAAGCAAACCCTTACCCTTGCCCTCTGGAGTTCCCCTTTCTAAACTTCCACCTTCTGTTTGCTTAGGTGCCACATATCTGCTGCCATGGTGCCGCCTCGAAACATCATTTCTCTGCAGGAAGAGGCATGGCACTATGGTGGAATAAGCTATTTATAATGTGTTCTGTACTGTCTGGGTATGAATATGTGCTACTCCTGTTTGGCCACAAACATAAATGATTCTGCCAGATCCAGCAGCAATATTTTGGTCACAAACAACTAGTTTACTTGAACAAAAAGAGTTCTTTAGTAAGCTACAGGTACGTATTGAGTTTGTGCTTGGAATGTCCATATATAGCTGTAGATGTAATAAGTTCTGCTGACTCACACCCCAATGCCAAACACGCTAGGAACATTCCCAAAAAGGGTGAGCTGCAACTAAGTCTTACTGAAAGTGGTACAAAGGGTCCTTGTCAGGACTAAGAGGTGTGGAGAGATAATTTCAGCAGTGAGCCCACTGTGCAAAAACATATCACATACTGAACACATGCACCATCCTCTCCAACAGAGCAAGCTAAGTGGAAACCTGTTATGCTTTCCAGCAGATGCTGATTTTGTTCAGTGATGATTGGCTAGTCTTTGAGTTGCTCAGTGTCGATTGGCTAACCTTTGTGTCATTCACAAAGTGGCACCCCCATCGCCTCCCTCATCTTTGGTTTAGAGCAACACATTGCTGATTGATTGATTGATTGATTGACTGGCTGCTGCATCAGTCCTAAAAGCAACTTTCCCCATCCCCAAATAAAAGTGGAACAAAAAATGTTTTTTTTTAATGAATAACTCACAGAGATGAGGAAGCAAGGGTCTTGCAGAATAAACACACCACCCAAAATATTGGAGGGGGGGCAGAAAAGAGGCAGTATCAGGTCCAGTGATTTTGCTTACCATATATCATTACAGAAGAAACCTTACAGCAGAAAAAATACAGATGCTCCTGTTTTAGAATATGTTTGTATGCCACTGATTTCAGTAGGGCAGCCACCTCACACACAATGTTTTCAAGATACAGTATACACAAAAGTGTTTTAGTGTACACCTAATCATGACTGCAACAAATACGTGTTTGCAAAGATGTATCATAGAGCTATGCTAACCAAGAAATTCAAATTGACTGTGACTTCCCATCAAATGCATGCTGGGTAGCAAACCTAATTTTGCTGCTTGTCATGTATAAAATACTTCTAGTCCCAATTAAATTTTGCTGGATTGTTCCACTATTCGGAGTGTGAACAAACTGTCGGTAAGAAAGACAAACTGTCTGGGTTGGTATTGGAGTCTTATCTTCAGTTCCAGAGAATAGCACTGAGGATGTGTGTTTGACCCCATGACTGCTGTCTGGTGGGATCCCATGAGGTTCCATCTTATCTTCTGGGCCTTTGAACACATTGGGAGTTGGGAGTGGTCACCAGGAGATGTGGGGTGAGATGTTATCAACATGTCTCAGGTGATGGGTACAGGTGAGGTCAACTTCTACCCCATCACATGCTACCTCATTATGGTGCACCTCTCCAAGCAAGGTTTGCTGCCTGCTCTTCTACTTTGCCTCACTCTGAGTAAGGTCCCTGGAGCGAAGGTATCCTTTTCTCTCTTTTCTAAAGCATTTTTTGCCACCTTGCCCAGAATGCCTGGCTCTGAAAAAGGAATCCCGTGTCTCTTTCTCAGAGCGAGGTGAGACAGGCACACGGTGGTGGCAGAGAAGCCACTACCACAATCACTGCTAATGCAGCAGACAAGTTTTATTTTATTTAAAGTAAGAGGGAGAGGAGGAAAGCATTCAGGTAATGAAAAGTTGGTGAGTCATCTGCTCCTTGGCATGTGTTGATAGATCCAGTCATGTTTACCAAGAGTTTGTTCCTACAAACAAAAAGTACAGGCTCACACTCCAGCTATTTAGTGAATGAGAAGACACTTCACCAAGTGGGTGGGATCCATGCATTTCTGCCATCTTTGGTAACCACCTCAAATTTGTGCTTGCCCAAAACCATGCACCTCCCTAAATGAGAAGGCTTTTCCTCAATATAATACTGAGCTTTAGAAAAACCTAGAATGCCTTTGAGTCCCAGGGCTAGCATAAAGATGAAACAGCACCTCTCCTGCTGAATTCTGACATAGGGATAGACAGGAAGTTCCTCCCTGTCTTGCTCAATCCAGAATCTCTAGTACTTCTGAGGCCAGCACAACCAAGGGGGTCTCTCAACTGGGGGTGGAGAGGGCCCTGTCCCTGTTGTGCTTGCTCTAGGAAAACTCAAGAGAGTCAAGACATCTCATTTCTTTGGGGACATTTCTTAGTCCCCAGGCTAAGCTAGTCCTTCTACGCAATCCTTCTGGTTAAACTGTGGGCTTTTCCCAAATACAACAAACTCCTGTTTCCCTCCGAAATGAGACTTTTTGTAATAAGGAAAGCGATGGGAGAAATGCTGGAAAGTGTGTGGGATAAGAATTGCTGGACATTGCAAACAAACCAGGAAGAGTGCTCCATAAACCACCGGCGTTGGGTAACCTCCCCACAAACGTCGTTCAAGAAAATCTGGATGAATCCTCCATCAACAGATCATCTGGGAACAACCTTTGCCAATTAGTCAGGCTGCAATCCTATAGCCACTTACCTGGGAGTAAGCCCCACATTACACAGCAGAACTTACTGCACTGTAGACATTGGTATGTTCAACCTGGTTTGCTTCATCTGCCTACCAGTTGCAGCCCCAATAAAGAGAAATGCCTTGATCCTACTGACGGCTTGTGCGTGCATGCTAACAACAATAACAACATTTATTACATGCCACCCATCTGACTGGGTTGCCCCTGCCACTCTGGGCAGCTCCCAGAAATATTTAAAAACACAATGAAGCATCAAATATGGAAAACGCTTCCCTATAGAAGGCTCCCTTCAGACGTCTTCTGAAAGTCAAATAGTTGTTTATTAAGGCTACACACCATCTGCATATACATATCTATGTTGTGTCCCTTACAAAGTTCCTAGGAGTTGCGAAACTAGTATCAACACAGCAGCAGCAACTCCGAAATTGAGACCCAGCTGCCTTCGGGTTGTGTATATTTTAGGGGTGTGCGGCGTGGGGCGGTGAATGGAAAGCGGGGTGGGACCCCCTCTTTTTGGGGGGGCCGAAGGGGCGGCTGAGCGAGGCGGCCACAAGGGGCGCTGGGAGAGGCGCGCCTTTCCTCCGAGCAGCGGCCGAGCGAGAGGCGGCGCGCCGCCGCCCTCCCTGCCGAGCAAACAGGAGGTATTTATTTATAAGGCCGAGGAGAATATATAGGGGCCATTGATTCCCGCCTTGAGCAAAGCAGCTCTCGCTGGAGAGGAAACGGCTTCCTATTTCAATAACAGAGCGGCCTTTGATGGCTCCTGGAGCCGGAGAGAAAGCCAACGGAACCCGCCCTCAGGAAACAAGGGGCGGCTCGGGGGGAGCGGGAGGCCGAAGCGCCGCGCGAAGGCGCAGCAAGAGAGGAGGGAGGGCGGAGAAAAGGACAGGCGGCTCGAGGAAGGTCGAGAGCAGAAGGAGAGCCCGCCGCGTCAAGTTGAGCTCGCGCCTTCGCTTTGTTGGGCTGGCCTGAAAGCAACACGCCTATGTCGGCCCGGGATCTCTAGGTGGCGCTGTTGACTCAACAAACAGCCGCAAACGCGCTTCTCCTCCGGCCGCGCTGAGCGACTCGCCTTCTGCAAAGCGGAGACCGGTTGAGATTCTGGTCCAGCCCCGCTGTCGCATGCCAGGCTGGTGGCACAACTAGACCCATCGTTTGGTTGGACTCTCGGGCCTGACCCAAGGAGAGAGAAAATTATTTAAATTCTCGCACTTTGTAACAAGTGAAGCAGCAAAATCGGAAGCCAAAGGAGTGGAAAAGCAGTTTTAGCACATGCCTTTCTTCAAAGAACCTTGGGCAGATCCCCCGCCCCCTTTCACCGGCTTGCATCACACACACACACACACA